GGGCTCAGGCAATCCACTCACCTCAGCCTCCCAATGGCGCAGGATTACAGGCTGAGCCACCGAGCCCGGCTAGAGTACTTTTAAAGTGACTGAAATTTAAATGTGTAAGAATAAATACACAATTTTTTATAAATAAATTTCAGGGGTTTTTTGTGTTCCCTCTCATACAAAGAGGGCAAAAGAAACTAAGTACATCGTGTGGGCTACACAGGGTGGCCTGGTGGGCAGCTGGGGAGGCCTTTGCAATGCTGACACTCAGACTGAGGCGTAAAGAACGAGGGACACAGTGGACAGGAACTGGACACAAAGGTCCCAGACAGGTGTGGGTGGATGTAGGGAGGTCTAGTGGCCAGGGGGGCTTGTGCAGCAGGAATGGGCAAGGTTTGGAACAGGGAGGATGGGATCAGCTTTACGATTTTAAGACCCTGCGGCTGCTGTGGGGACTGGATGGTAGGGCCCCAGGCTAGGGGTGAGAGACAAGGAGGGCTTTGGCAACTGGCAACATCCCCTGACCCCAGGATCTGGTGGCTGCTCTGCACAAGGCCTCCCAGGAGACAGGACATGGACAGGGCAGCCCTGGGGTGAGCCAGGCCCTGACCTCTGCCTCCTGCCACCATAGCCCCTCAAGACACTCTCGAGAGAGCGGCCCCTGCCCAACATCTTCAACCTGTACACAGTCCTCACCGTGATGCTGCAGTTCTTTGTGCACTTCTTGAGCCTCGTCTACCTGTACAGTGAGGCTCAGGCCCGGAGCCCCGAGAAGTGAGTGCTACCACCCCGGAGGAGGTGTCGTCCCTGCAGCCTGGAGTGGCAGGAAGTCAACTACACAGACATTGGCAGGAGAGCCTGGGAGTCAGGGAGACCAGGGAGGGGGCAGGGCCAGACTGGTGGGGTCAGCCCCACAGGCTGTGGGAGGGCCCTGGCTCTGCTGGGACAGCAGGGAGCCATAGGGGTGTGTGAGCAGGACAGGAGTCCTGACCCCACGTGGCATCTCTGCAGGGAGGAGCAGTTTGTGGACCTGTACAAGGAGTTTGAGCCGAGCCTGGTCAACAGCACCGTGTACATCATGGCCATGGCCATGCAGATGGCCACCTTCGCCATCAACTACAAGGTGAGGCCCAGGCCCCACCCAGCATGCCCACCCAGCCCCCACCACATGCAGCCAACTGGCCTCCATTCCCACAGGGCCCTCCCTTCATGGAGAGCCTGCCTGAGAACAAGCCCCTGGTTTGGAGTCTGGCGGTGTCACTCCTGGCCATCGTAGGCCTGCTCCTTGGCTCCTCACCTGACTTCAACAGCCAGTTTGGCCTCGTGGATATCCCTGTGGAGGTGAGTGGCCCTAAGGAGGTCAGCTTGGACCCAGCTGTGGGTTCCTCCCGTGGTCCTCAGCTCACCAGCCCTCCTCGCTCTGACAGTTCAAGCTGGTCATCGCCCAGGTCCTGCTCCTGGACTTCTGCCTGGCGCTCCTGGCCGACCGTGTCCTGCAGTTCTTCCTGGGGACCCCGAAGCTGAAAGTGCCTTCCTGAGATGGCAGTGCTGGCACCCACTGCCCACCCTGGCTGCTGCCGGGCGGGAACCCTGCCAGGGCCCTGGGAGGAAATCCTGCCCCAAACCCCATGGCAAGGCTGTATAGCCCAGCCTCTGGAAGACTAAGCTGGGACCCCTTGGCCATCTGATGGCCTGGCTAGCGGAATCAGCCCTGGGGCAGCACCTTTGGTAAATAAAGCAGCATTTGAGATTTTAAGCCCTGCCTCCACCTCTGTCTGTGGTACACAGGGTTTGCTGGGAGGTGGAGGGGTCAGGGGGTCACTGAGGGAGTCCCAGCACCCCCCCACACACACACAGGCTGTGGGAGGGTAACAATGACACCCTCTGTAGCCTGTTCAGCACTTGGATGGGCCAAGCTCCAGCCAGGAGAACGTGCTACATGTTTTCTAGTTTAACAAGCACCCCTGATCTCAGTTTCACATTTTAACAAGTCAGGTGCTGGGAGGCACTTAGGATTAATGGTATTTTTCCCTTTTCCATAATACATAAAATAACAGAGTGCTTCCACTGTGTGTCTTAGACATGAAGAATGACCCGTGTTGTTAGAAATACCGACTCGGTCATGTACCTGTGCTGCCCCCTCGTGTGGCAGGCAGATGGTGTCGTCCTTTCCAGGCACTCACTTGTACTACTCCCATTGCAGAGTAGGCAGCATGAGAGTGGAGACTTTTAGCTGCCCCAGCAACCAAAAGCTTTAGGAAGCAGTTATATATATTCTTTGAAGTCTTTATTTTCAGCCCAGAATTCCACTGAGTGCTGGGTGTGGGAGCATATTTACAAACAACAAATTGCTGGGGCCCCTTGACAAGCCTTCTCCTGCCCCTCCATCCCTGGCACCTCAGCACCCTTAACCTTTGCTGCTTCGATATGTCTCCACGCCACCCTGTCCAGCTTCTCCATCTGGCAGGTCTGAGGTGGCATCTGGGAGCAGCAGTCAGGTGGGGTCTGGGGAAGTAGGCTTCAGGAGAGGACGGGGCACCCACCTGACAGGCCGACCCTGTGGTCGTGTCGGTTGGGAGGGCCCAGAGCAGGGGACCGCTGCCCCTCCTCGTTCCTCTGGTGCTCTGTTGTCCCGTGGCCTCGAGAGCCTGATCCAGGTTTGAGGGGCCCGGGGCCCTGGGTCAGGCGTCTCTGGCCGTAGAACCTCAGAATGCGGTTGGGATCGGGCCGAACGTTCGGCCTCCACTAGAGGGCGCCATGACCCCGACCAGGCCCGGGTGGGTTCGGGCCCCAAAAGACCCCCGGCCAGGAGGTCACTGGGGTCGCAGGCATGGGATGTTCTGGGCAAGGCTCCCCAGGCCGGGTGGCCTCCGGGACTCCTGGGGCCAAGGGTTCTGAGGCCCCGTGTGCCTTG